TGTTATATCATCCCATACCTGACAGGGAATTGGAAGGGGTTGCAACAAACCAGCCGGAGCAAGTGTTTCTGATTTAACCTTTTGGCAAGTCACGTAGGTGGAGACATGCTCCTGGACGGTTTTGCGCATAGCCGGCCAATGGAATTGTTGAGCTAACCTTTTGTATGTTCAGAGTACTCTGGACTGTCCACCAATTGGCGAATCGTGAAAGGCCTGCAGCAGCTGTTGGATGAGTGGTGACTTGGGTGGTGGTAGCCTACCCGATTTTTGTAGAGCACCAATCCATCCCGCAGGCTGTACGGGTTGTCTGGATTTTGTAATGTTGATTTCTTCAGTTTTTGCATGTGGGGCTGCTGCTGTGTTTCTGTTTTAATATCTTCCCAAACCTGATTTTTACATATAAATAAAGTGTCAAGAGATGGGCCACTGACCTGTCTTGATAGAGCATCAGCAGCGACGTTTTCCTTGCCTGGTCTGTAAGTGATTGCATAATCGTAGCCAAATAACTTTAAAACCCATTTTTCTTGTTTCGGAGTAGTGATATGTTGACTCAATAGATGCTTAAGGCTGCAGTGGTCGGTTTGTACATAAAATTTCCTGCCCAACAAGTAGGGACGCCAGGTTTGTTATGCTATCACAATTGCAAGCATTTATTTGGCATAGGTGGACCAAGATTCTTTTGAGACGCCAAGTGTCCGGTTCATGTAGACGACCAGTTTGCCTTGTTGTGTTAAGACTGCACCAATTCCCTCCCCCAAAGCATCTGTGTTGATTGTGAATGGTCCCTTAAAATTTGTTAGTGCTAAAGTCGGGGTGGTCATCATGGCTTGTTTGAGAGCTGCAAAGGCAGCCTTTGCTTCTGTGTTCCAACAGAAATTTTCCTTTTTTAGCTAGCTTGTGAGTGGCCGTGCTATCATCCCATACCCTTGCACAGATTTTCAGTAATATCCGATTAACTCCAAGAACCCCCGAAGCTCTGTAATATTGGTCGGTCTATGCCAGTTCAGCATTACTCTTATTGTTTCCTTATCAACCTTGACACCCTTTGGTGTGATAATATGCCCAAGGTACTCCAAGTCTTGTTTACCGAAAACGTATTTCTTCTGTTTAACAAAAAATTGTTGTTGCCTTAAGATTCCAAATGTCAGTTTGACATGTTCCAGATGCAATGACCAGATGGGGCAATAGACCAAAATATTATCGAAAAATACCAGGATGAATTGGCATATATACGGCCTGAAAATTGAGTTCATGATGGCCTGGAAGGTGGACAGAGTGTTGCATAGGCCGAACGACATCACCATTTATTCGTAGTGACTGTTGTGAGTGCAGGAGGCGGTTTTGTGTGCGTCTGCAGGATGAACTCGGACTTGGTGGTACTCTGATGTAAAATCCAGTTTAGTGAAATAAGAGGCCCCATGGAGATCATCAAGCATATCATCAACGGTTGAAATTAGAAACCTGTCTTTGACGGTTACTGAATTAAGAACCCGATAGTCTATGCAAAACTGCCAAGTTCCATCCTTTTTTTTGTAAGTAAGACCGGTGATGAGAAGGGACTGATACTGGGTTTGATCAACCTCATTCTCAGCATTTCTTGCACCTGTTTTTCAATATCAGATTTTTGAAAATAGATGTACCTGTAGGGTCTCACATTCACGGGTTCGGTGCCTTCCTTAAGGATAATTTGGTGCTCCACTTCTCTGGCAGGGGGAAGTTGATGTGGTTCTTGAAAAATGTCACTGAATTCATTCAGCAATCGTTGAATTTCTGGCTCTACTTTATCAGTGCTATCAGGATGATGGTTCAAACAGACGGCTAGACCGAATGGTTGCTGCCTGATCACCTTGGTAATGGCTTTTAAGGAGGTTGACTGAAGAATCGGGGCATCGACCCCTTGCAGGCATCGTACCTGGCCACCCCAGGTAAATTCCATCTTCTTTTGTTTCCAATCACACAATCCAGTGCCCAGTTGCTCCAACCATTGGATGCCTACCACCAAATCAAGTCCCATTACTGGTAAAGCATACAAAGTTAAGGAAAAAGAAATACCCCGGAGATTGATGGGAACATGCTCAAATCTCCCCTGGCATTGCAGTGGGTGACCGTTGGTAACCCGGACGGAAAAGGGCTTAGTCTGGATCACGGGTAATCACAGCCCATCTGCCAACCGCTCGCTTATAAAGTTGTGAGCAGATCCTCTGTCAATGAGGGCCACCATGCTCTGTTTATGGATGGTGGCAGCGATTCGCAGTGTATGGCTCACAGTCCACCCCATGAGGGCGTGGAGGAAAATTTCGGGCTTGACTTCCTCCCTTTGTTCGTCGTCCTCTGTACTTCCTTCCAAATCAGGAGCTGTGGCCTGCGACAACGGTGGCCGGCTGTGTACCGCTCATCACAATGGAAACACAAGCCTTGGGCGCGTCGTTGCTGGACCTCATCCCAGGACAGTCGTTTTGGCTGAATTCCGTCAGCTGGTAAAATCTGGGGTAGACCGGTTGTTGGGGCCGGGTTCGGGTTACACAAACCCACAAGGTCCGCCGCTGCCAGCCCAATTGCTCTTCTCTCATCCTGGCCAACCCGATAGCGTTCTTCAAGGTCCTAGGTTTAAACATTTGGATACCATCCGCTATCTCGGGCTTGAGCCAACCAATAAAATTCTGACAAGGGCTTTTTGGGTCCAGCCTTGGACCCGATTACCCAAAATTTTCAGACTGCTTCTGATAGTCTCTGAGTGAACCCAATTGCCGGATTTTGGACAGGCTTCGTTAAAATCCTCGCAGTCAGTAGGCCCAAACCGAGCCCACAACTCTTCGGTAAATCCGGCCCACATCACCACTCGGCCCTCCTCCCGGTAAGCCCGCTTCAACCATTGCTACCATTGGTTAGCTTCCCCTTCAAGGTGGAAGGAGGCCAAGGCGACTTTATGGTAGTCGGCGGTGCCTTGAAACTCAAAAAATTGATAGACTCTGTTAAACCACTCAATAGGATCATCACCGGCATAAGTGGGGAAATATAATTTCGCAAACCTGGAGTAAAACCCCTGTGGTCCAGTTTCGGGCCGTTCATTTTCTTCTTCTCTATATGGTCGGTTTGCTCCAAGTCGGCTGAGGGTGTGGCTGGCAGACCCTTCGCAATTGGACAACATGGTGTCAGTGAGTCGTTGTAGGTCCTCTTCGATCAACCGCATTTTGTCGGTCATGCCAATTTCGAAGCGACTCATGCTGTCCTGTAAGCCTCCCAAACCCACTTCAAGTTGTTCAATCTGTTCCTTGTTGGAGGTCATTGTCGTCACTTTGTTTGGAAATTATTTGACCTGCTCTTATATCAATTGTTAACCAGTCAAAACAGTCGCAAATCAAGCTTTCTTATAAGGTGAGAAAATACCACTGGTAACTTAATTGAATATGATCTGCTTTATTCATGAGTTTGCTGGAATTTAAATAACCAAGCAGAGACACAACCGTTCCTAACCCTACAAGTGCAGATAAGAAGAGATACAGGAAATCAAGCAAAAATACAGAAAATCAAGCAACTAACTGGATAGTGGTGGAAAGCAGATTCTGTCGACCGGTTCTTCTGTGAGTTGTTTACAGCTTGGGACTGATTCTTTTAATCCATATATTTCAGATTCTTGACTGGTATACGTTGGGATCTTCTAGGATTATCAGTAATAATCACATCATTGCATATTACAAGAAAGAATAATATAGGAGTTGTGGGATACTTGAATCCTATCTATAAGCCAAAAAAACACACACAAAGCTCCTAATTTCTATCATAATTCGAAGCCTTCATAGTCACTCAATCTTCAATCTATAGCATGTCCTGTCCTTAATTATAACCAGAGCAGTATATTTCAAATAAGTTTTCCTACTTCCAGAACAATATCCCCTTTACCATTGCATCCACTTTGAATGGACAATCTGTGCTTTTATATCAACTAAATATTATGATACCATGCACTATGGAGAGATGAGAGTTAAGGATTCTTCAATTCATCATGGCTATCAAAATCAAGAGCTGAAACCTAGGAAAATGACTTGGTCCAATTAGTAAGCAAACATTGAACTAAAAAACTTTGCATACGCTCAATTTGCGAGTTTCACCATGCAAAAACTAATGAAATCAGATTGTGAATCCACCTAATTTTACACACACTGATTTTGTCCTCGTGTCTATTCCATATATCAGGAAGAAAGAACTACATGATTAGATTAATTAGGTTTTATTAGCAAATTAATATCCAATCTAAGTGGATCAAACTAGTTTCCAGGAAAGCACTTGAGATTAGTCGCTGGATTCTAAGCAGTTAATTTCAGTTTTAGCAACTAGAAGAAGTTCGCTAAATTTTGATACAGGCATAAAGCCACATCTGGTTCCAAACAATCATCCATTATCAATCTATGAGACTAGTAATTCTATCCATAACAAATCACAACAATCTTCTAATTTAACATCCATGAACCAGAATTGCAATTACAAAATTCTTAGGCTCTGTTCGGGACAGGTAAACTTTATTCTAAAATCCACAATTGATACCTATCTATTACTCTAATTACCTATTCACCGGGAGAAGAAATCCAGAAATTGAAATTCAAACCAAAGGAAACCAACCTTGTAACCAAGTGGATAATTCCCATTTTTAGACCACAAGCCGGCTCGAACATACCGGTCACCGGCTGATAACCGGCGGAGCACGTCGATAAGCAAGCCAATAGCATAATCGGCGCCGTCGTCGGCAAACGCGGGTCCGGTGTTGGTAATCGCCACGGACCGACGCTTGCACTCCTCCAAGTCAATATGATCAATGCCAGCGGTGGAACACACAACGAGTTCCAGGGAAGGTAACAGCGAGAGGGTTTCAGAGGTCAGGGGCGAAGGTCCTATACAGACGATAGCGCGCGCATGAGGGATGAGTAAGGATTGAGTTGAATCGTTCGGGTCGAGCAAGCGGAAGTGCTTCTGCAAAGCATCCTTGAAGATGAAGAAGAAGGATATGCAATTAACATAGACTAACGGCAGTTCCGGTCCTGGATTTTGCTCTTCCATGGCTTTGTCGCCGTAACTTGCTTTCAGTACATACTTATGTATGTATATGCGCGCGCGCGTGTGCGTACATATATATTTAAATAAAAATAATATAAGCTAAATAGATAGTTTATATAACACGTAATGAAATTAAATTAATAACACGTAATACTAGTTAATTGGTTATATTTAAAAATATTTAAATAATTAATTTTTAAATATCTTATATTTAAATATAGTAAATTAATTATTTACTAATTAATCTCGTATATTTTTTATTAGTTAATGTATTTATTACAATAGTTATATCAAATTAAGTTATGTCCAACTGCACATAATTTTTATATTTAATTTAAATAAAATAGTTTTATAATATTTATTAAATAAAATAAATTGATAGATAATTGTAATGTGTATATTTTAATTAAAAACATTTACTATGATAAATTTTTATTTACAACATACGTTTACCAGCAAAACGACAGGCACAGTCCAAAAG